GGTAGGAGCAGCAACATCCCCAGCCTGCAGACTGCTGCGTGTCACCGTTTAACCCTTTCGGGCACAAACTCACCCTTGTGTCCACAAAAGGATCTGCTCTGCAGAGAAGTGGCAGTGCTTGGCACACTGCCCTGCCTCGGGCAGGCTTGCATTACCCTGATGGAGTTGTCCCTTCACGTTGCCCTTCGTCACCTCCCACCCCATGAACGTGCTGTGCTTCTGCACCCCCTTGCCATGCAAGCAGGATAACATCCCATGCTTATCTGACACCGTAATTACAAGGAATTAATTGCAAAGCTTCTAGCAACCTTCAAGTGAAGCTGCAAGGGGYTGCAAATAGCCCTGATATGAATTAAAAGGACTCTTGGTTCTTATGAAACAGCACAAGGAATATAYGGGAGGACATAGAGTAAGCACCACGCTCTGATCCCTCTTTGGGGAACACCATCTTACCAACGTGCTGCTCCAAGCCGCCCTGAGTCTCCGTGCTGGTGGCCTGAGGAACCACAGGTTGGGTTGTGTGGCCTAGAGGTGTTCCCAGGGTCCCCAGGAGAGAGCGTTGAGCGACCTTCTCTATGCCCGGAGCCTCCAGGACCTGCTCCGATGGGAAGGGAGCCGCCCGGGCTGGGGCTTCCTGCTGCACACTGTGCAAAAGCAACCAAAAAACCTTGCTGAGGTCATGCATGAGCATAAACAGTCTGCTGGGAGTTAAAAAAAGGTTATTTTAACAAAGCTAGCACTTAATCTCTGTTGAATAGAGACAAAAGACTGAGAAGTTATACTTGCCAATGTGTAAAGTCCTTTCTCATACCTGGGTAGTGCTGGGAAAGCTAACAGCGCTCCTCATTCCCTGCTCCAGTTACTGCTCAGAAAGAGCTGGATTTGGTTCAGCCTGGTGCTAGGGGGAAACAAGAACCTTGTAGTCCTGAGGCTTAATTGATTAGGGCTGCACTGTACAACTCGTGCTGCTTTTGCACTCAGTTGCACAGCTACCTCTGAACCCTGGCAAAGCTCTCTGGAATATTTTTATGCAAGGTGCTGTACAAATATAAGGCATCATGCCTTATATTTTTGCTATTTGTGCCTGTTATTTAACATTGCAGACCTCAACATCAATGCCTGAAGTCCCATCAAAGACCTCATCTAACTGGCTGCATTTTGTTTACAGCTATTTAAACACAGCTACAAAACTAAGCTCTGGACTAAGGCTTGCTTGTAGCTGGTATGCTGCTCTGATGTGAGGTCTGCTGCATCCTTTCTAAAGGCCAGAATAAGGCTTAGCTAAAAAGATTACAAAGGAAGGTGTGAAAATGGGCATTTATTGTGCTGAAACAGAGGCAGGGAGMCTGAGACACATGGAAATGGTGACAGATGTTTTCTTCTTTATACAGAAAAAATGAATGTGGATTTTTTTAAATCAGCAATCAGCTTAGGGAAATCTCATTTCATTTTTCTCATTAATAAGCTTTGCTTTGTTTTTCATGACCCAGAAACTGCTAAAATGATTAGAACAGCTTCTACTAACACATGTCTTGGATGTTGTCTTCAGAAAGAGGGTGCAAAGGTAGATGAGTGAGGGAGAAGAGGTAACAGGGACTTCTCAAAGTAATTCTAATATTTGTTGGACCTTACCAGCCTAAGTTTCTGTATTTGTGGTGGGTTGATTTTTTAGTCAGCTCCACTGTTGCTTTTGGCTCTTAAGAAAAGCCTCCTTATAAAGACTGATGCCAAGGCCCCTTTCCAGCCTCACCTGCTTCCTGGGAAGGCTTTTRCTGTAGGAATCAACATAGACTCTCCAGAAAACCTTGTCCATACACAGGTGTGATCAAGAAACCCTGCTCATCAGGGCACAACCAGCTCTGCTGTGGGCACAGACTGTCCCAGCCATCAGCTGAGGTGCTTGGCTTTGCATGAGCTAGAAAGGCAGCAGTAACAGGGAGCAGAGAAGTTAAGGCTGTCAGAACAGCAGGCAAAAAAAAAATACTGCTAGGTTATTATGAGTTTTGACATCCAGGAGAATAGATCAGAAAGCCACTTCTATAGGCAACCGAATCCAAACAACACTGAGGTTCCATAAACATTTTCTGGCAGTTTAGAGACACCCCATCAGTGAGGCGTTGGCATTAGCAACAAACCTGCCAGAACTGGAAGCAGTGCTTTTGGGAAGATGCACCTGTGGGATTTCTTGCATGAATATGAATTACTGCTTTCACCGCTCTAATTAAACATGTAAGCACAACACTGTGTTCAGTGGGTAAGATCATGTTCAAGTGCCCTGATTTGGTAACCCTGCATGTGTTGCATTTGTGAATGAAGCTGGCAGGCAGGCGGTTGTTGACAGGTGGCTTTGTTTAAATGAACTCTTTTGGGGAGAATATTTGTTCTAGCTAAATGTGGACTCATAACTCACTAACACTGGCAGTGTCCTTTATATCKTATCTCCTTTATACAGTTTTACTATAACTTCTGTGTTAGAGGGAGCATCCAGCTCCTAAGATGATCCTGGAGCTGTCCACTGCTTATCTCTATGAGGTTTTATCCACAGATCTCCATCTCACAAAGCAACATTTGCAACAGACTTGTAATTTATCATTCAATAGGTTTTACTGACTAGTTCTGGGATGCTCRGAAGAGTTTGACTCCACTGCCTCACCAGCAGCTTTGCTTTCTCAGTGCAATCGATCCTACCCCCGCTTTACCTGCTACTTGCCCTTCACAGCTGAAGGGTTATTCCCATCTCRGGATGTGGGGCTTTGGCACCTACCTTCCATCAGCATGAATCAGAGTTGCCTGTAAACACACTTGTATCAGGACAGGGGGAACAGACCCCACCATTTCTTCATGCTGGGGAGCTTTGCATGCTGTGCTATAGTGTGCTCATACCTTCAGTGCATGTTCTGAGCACTTGTGTTTTATAAATTTGCCAKCTACTGTGCCAGAACCGCTCCATAATCCTTGCAGTTGATCCCTCAGAGCAGAAACCAGCCCAACCTTGGTGAACACAAGAGCTGGGCACAAAGAACAGGGATTTCACTCTCAGTAATTACTGCTCATAACTTTGGTAAGCTGAGCTGTCTGGACTTCTCTCTCCTATTTTCATTTTCCTCTTATTTGCTTTGAACTGCAAAGCTGTAAACAATCCTCTTAAAAACAAGGTGGTGTCATATTAAAGCATTTTTCTGTACRCATGGCAACATCCTGCCTTTGGCTAAAAATCAGTGATCTTTCCACTCATTTCCTGCAGTTCAAGCAGAAGGGAACAGGGAGATTCATGTAACAGCTCCTATTRCTTCTCTCCTCACTTGTCTTGCTAGGCCCAGCCTGCTCCAATTCCAGCACTAGACCAGCAGTTATGTCCTGCAGTTACTCTGCATTTGCCTAAGATCATATTGTTTTACTTCCTTGGCCCTGCTGAAGTAACAGGCAAAACTTAGCAAGAGACTTGGCATTCTAGATTAATTCTTCCTCGCTCCCCTTACCAGAGGGGCAGTGTGCCATGATGGATAGGCTGACACAGCCAGTTTGGTCCTAATTTCRTCTAGAAGGCAATTCCAGAGCTGGACCATCGCTTCCCAAGGCAGGAAACAAGCCACAAGCATATCCCATCCTTCTCCCAGAACTAGAATTTAGGGACATGGTAGCATCACCATTGTGGCYTGTGTTGCACATATGTGCATTCCTCAGTAATGCCTCCCCAGGTCATACTTACTCCCCAAGGTTGGAGGATTTGCTCCCCAAGGGAAGCCCTCCCTGCAGACACACACAGTCTGTGCTGGGGCTGGGTGGCTTTGCCAGTCTCTGCTGGCTGGATGGTGGTACAGACAGATTTGGACTTAACTACTGCTTCTGAGCCCACAAGTCTCTTCATGCTTCTTTTTGCAAGAAATGAAGCATCTAGGAACAATTGCACAAATACATTTTTGGTCTCTAAGACACAGGTTAAGAGCAAAGGGTTTACTGTTTACTGCCAGCGACATTAAACATTTAATTAACACAGGCTGACTGAAAACATAACCTACATTAATCCTTTTTTTCTAGACATCCTGTTTCTAAACATTTTCCGTGATGATCCTGCTGGGCCATGTGCCCACTTCGCCGAACCCAACGGCTGCRCGTGGGCACAGCTACACCTACACACAACCTGTAGCGCTGCGGCGAGCAGAATTCCCAACCCGCTCTTGGCACAAAGCGGGTGAAAACAATTACTCTAAATGAATTTATAGTATTCGGTTGACTAAATCCCTCTAATCCCCCGCAAAAAGGGGATCGGGGGAGATTTGATCAACGGACCCTCCCGGAGAGGGTGGGGGGGCGCTGCGGGCGCGCCCTGCGGCGCCACCTGGCGGCCGCCTGCGGCGCCGCCCGCCCCGCGGCCACGGTCGCCGTTTTCCCGATTTTGGGAAAATTGGGACCTGCCCTCCCCCACCCCCCGGCAGCGCCTGGGCTGCCGCAGCCTCTGCCCGAGCCGCTTTTCCCTTCAATTCCCAGTAAGCTCCTGTCCACTCATGAAGCTGGGAGGCCCAGGGCAAAACTTCCCTGAGCCATCATTCTTACAGAAAAAAAGAAAATTTAAAAAAAAATGAAGCTTTCCTATTGATCTCCCAGCTCTCTGCAAGGCGGCACTTCCCCTTTCAGTATATCTTGTGTCCAAACCTGCCTACTTGGCAATTCTGAGCGCGGGATAAAGAGCAGCCTGGCTCCGGGCTGAAATAGTGCTGTTCATTTTAACGACATGTGGGGCGCAGCGAGCACACAACAATATATCTGGGTTTGCTTACCTGCCCCCGAGGAGGCCATGAGATGGAGAGGCCAGGCTGCTTATTGGCTTTCYGTGCAATAGACTTGTGTCCACCTCAGATCCTTTAGTCACCAGGAAGCCTTTTAAAAAAAGACAAATGAAAGCCTCGAATAAACACGCTCTTCACAGAAATGAAATGGTCCAAGATTTGGCATCTATTCTCTGCCTATTTATGTGTGAGCACTTAGCCTTCATATAGCTCTTAACATTCACAGGTTTCTAAGTACTTGGTGTTAGGTTTTTCATTCCTTTCAGCTGGAAAAAACCCAAGCACCAGAAGGTGAAGTGTCCAAAAGCAGTGACAAAGCCACAGATACAAATTTGCAGGTATAGCTTCAGTTACAAGGGGAAAACCAGCCCATTAGATCATTACCCAGGTTTCCTAATGTCACAGCCTCTCACAGGGGGTGTGACATGCCAGTGCTAACCAGTCATTCACAAGAGCAGTCACTCATTATCAGCACCAACCCAATCTGAGGAGACTAACCAGAGTTTCAAGCCCGTACAATGTACGGGCTGGAGTTCCTCATGGCAGCTCTGAGGCCCCCCAGGCTGCCTGTGCTGCCCAGGGCTTCAGGGCTGTTCTCCAGACCCCATCTGTGAGCCGAGCAAAACCATAGGGCTCCTGCAACCATCTCCATGGAACAGCTTAGATCCTAGAGGAGCAGCTTGCTAGAGCTTTGCCAAGGCACTACTGACTTCCATTAGCCAAGGAGAATTGGGGCTCCAACACTAGTTTGCAGCTTTGAAGCTCCCACACTGCATTATCAGAATGTCCCCATTGCATCTTATCAGCATGGCCTACCTTGCRATGTGCTGCTCAGGTCTTCCCCAGTGTCAGAATGCCTCTGTCTCACATTGCAGAGGTTCCATGGTAGTTCTTTGCTTGCAGCACCACCACCAGACAAAGAGGTGCACATGGTTTTAAGTCTGTCCTGGCCAGTTGCTCCCTCAGGACTACGAGCAAGAATAGTCTTGCCCAGTCCATGAAACTCCCTATCTGAAGATACATGCAACTTGTCAGGATCTGGGGCTTCCAGAAGCATTTGTAACGTCATTGTCCTGTCTTGCTCATCCTTGGATGTCTCGGGCTCCAAGTGAGACGATCCTTTGAAAAGGTCCAAAGTTGTCTGTGTTGATATTTTGTTGGCAAAGTCGTGGACCCTGCTTGCTGCATTCATTCTCCCAGTCGCCAACTCAACCTTTTCTGCAAGTTCCAGGGACAACCTATGTATGGCTTGCACTCGATCCTGTTTGCTTCTATATGGAGAAACACCAAAAACCAAGTCCTTGGATTCAGGTTCTGCATCCTGGCAGGGAAGGGAGATGCTCAGTGAAGGGGTATATGGAGCCAGGCAAGAGTTGTCCTGCAAGTCCTCACATTTCAGAGAGCTGGAAAACAAGTGTTTGGATTCCCCTGCTGCTGGAGAAGGTACAACCTCTCTCTCTGTAGGTAATTGAGCTGCTTCTATAAGCAAATTCCTGTTTAAATAGAAAGGAGAAATATCCAATTATAAAAACCTTGGTATCCTCAGGTAAAGTGCTTCACAAAAGGAAAAGAAAGATCTCCCCATCTCTGGATACATTTGCCAAATATTAGGATGAGGCTGGAGCATGGAGTGCTGACAAAAAACAAGAATCAGAAACTTGCCAGGAGCTGGAAAGGCATAATTATTATTTAGAAATACAAAGCATAAAAATAGGCTAAAACATTGGTCTCAGCCTGGAGAGCCAGAATGTCAGTCTCTTTCTGTGCTTCAGAGATTATAAACTGGGATGTGCATTGTAGAAATCAGCTATTTCTAAGGAAAGACTGGTATTTTTTCTGGTCTTCAGCAGGTTCTGCTTCCTTCTTCCCAGAAGTTTTAATAACCTTAGCAAGACATAGTGACAGTCTTGGAGTCTCCCAGGGAGAACTGTCACCATTCATTTAGTGGGCTGGGGAACCAGTAGGTGCAGATTTGATAAGACATATACAGGTGATTTAATGCATTCACAGAAGGAAAAGCTAATTTCATATCCTGAAACACAGAAGCCCTGGCTCATGCTGCTGTCCAGTGACCATTTGTGGGTTTGGGTCTAATAATGAGGCTAATTAAGTTGAGGAATAGTAGTACAGAGTAGATTAGCCCAAGAAGTCACTCTACTATGATTTGCAACAGAATCCTATGAAGTCTCCCCCATGTGCTAGGAAGCTCTAAGATGCTTTTCATGCCCCAGTACCTGCTTCTGGGCTCCTTGCTTAGAATGCAGGACCTTTTAGGTCCCCAGGCCATAAAACTCCTCTCCAAGGTCCCACTGCTGGGCTGCTTCTGAAACAAGAGAGACTATTAGTTAAGTGCTAAATAACTAGGTAACAAGTATTTGGCTTTTGTTCCACTTCAAAATCAATCCATATGATCAGAAAATCCCATGCACCAAATAACTACCCTGTTATTTTAGCTGAAGCAATAAAGATTTTCAGACTTCTGACCCCAAAGTCAAGGGTTCTAGCCTCACTAATGAGCCCAGCAGTTCATATTGTAATTAGAAGTTAATTGCTCTGTTTTTCCAGGTAAAAACTCTCTCCTCCCTGACCCTTCAAAGCAGTTGCAAAGTGCTTCATCCCCTGCACTGCTGGGGCACCAGGAGCGAGGGATTTTCCACCTGCTGCTCCTTCACAACTTACATGCTCAGGTTTACCCCAGGGATTTCCTTCTGCAGAACCTGCCTCCTTGATGAACTTCTGAGTCCGGCCAGAACACCTTTTCCTTCCAAAAGCTTCTTTCTGTTTCCTGTACACTTCCTGCAATCTCTTATTTCTCATCTCCATTGCCTGCACCAAAGACCTCTTCTCTTCCAGGCTTTTTTTCTTTCTTTCTATATTCTTTTGATACATATATTCCCTAATGACTTCAGGGCTGTASGGGTGAGGTTTTTTCAGGTTTGCCCTCCTCTTTGAAGGGTGGTTAAGGTTTTCCTTTTCAGACCCTTTCTGTGCCAGGCCCCTTGACTCGTTCCACCTTTGAGAAGCGTTTTTTCCTCCACTGTAGTTGCCATACTCAGGTTCAGCTCTCGTTAATGGGGATCTTGTCTCTTCCCCACTGAATGAAGAAGGAGTCCTGCACTCAGCTCCAGGTGAAGCAGAGCCAATCCCTRGGTGATGCTGCAGAACTTCTGCCTTTCCTTTTGCAGCATCTTTGGGGAACTTGGTATTTCTGCGCTCAGCATGTTCACTTTGCACACCTAGATTCTTCAGAATTTGTTTCTTGGCCTCGTCCAGGGTATTTCTGTCCTTTTCAGCCTGTTCATTGCTGCATACCACACAGCTTTTGAAGGCAGGGCTTTCCCCCACAGCTTCACTTCCCCTTTCTCCAGGGATCTGTTCCATCAATGGCATTGCTATAAATCCTTCACCAGGCTCTGTGAAAAGCATTTGCAAACAAGAGGGGTTATTACTTCAGTGGTGTATCTATTCCTGCCTTTATCATGTCCATATCAAGACCCACTACAGGTAGAACCTATAGCCAATGTTTCTCTAGTTTTAACTATCAGTCAGTCTCAATTTTGGTTTGTGTGCAAAAAAAATAACATAGCAATGAAGAAACTACCCAAGGTGATTGCAGTGATGGGCTCTTCAACTATGCTCTTCAGTGTTGCAAATTTAGGAGATGGACCAAGCAACTTTCTAGCCAACTTCTGACCTTCTCTCCACGCAGAAGCTCCAGAGCATTTCATATCTGAAACAGAGGATTTATATTGAATTATTAAAACCAAAGAGGTCATGGGTTGTGTGGGGCATACTTCAGTGGAGCACTTAATGTGCAGTAGTCTCTCTGCTAGGGTCTATTTGCCATCTGGCAGAGCCAGTTCATGAATCAGGTTAGGGCAAGACATGAAGATTTGGTAATTTCCCAAGGTTTTACCATTACTATCCCTCACTTGTATCATGTTCACACAGATGTCACAAGCTTTACTCAGAAACCAGGGACCCCCAAAGTCCTCAAAAGTGCTTGGAAGAGGCCAAGGCACAAGCCTTGGAGAGCAGCACTGAGGGCAGCTGCAGATACTTGGTATTCACTGGATACCAACTAGCAATCTTGAGGGTGACAACAATCTGATTTTCTTTGCAATTACTTCAAACTCAGAGTAAACTAATTCATTTTTAAACTGGTGAGAGTCAGCAGGATGCAGTGCGCAAGAATCAATGAATGACACAGGACAAGGGACCACGTATACTGCAAAATTAAATGATGCAGTGTGCCACAAAAATTATTTTTCTTTAATATGTGGTGTCACATAATAGACAACATTTATCACCCTTTTACTTCATAATTTCAGACTGTATTCACAGCCTGCCAATACTTGTACTGGCATAATTATGAATTTATAGCAAACTTCTCCCACAGAACGTGCCTAAAGTCACTTTTCGCATGGAATATTCCCCCCCCTCAGATTTTCCCCAAAGAAAACACTTAAGCTTTGTTTTAGAGAACAGATTTCCCTACATCTACCCCATCTGGTGTATGACAGCGCAACCCACAAASGCAACAGCCAAAATCAGCTGGGCTCAGGATGACTGAGACCAGTGTTTTTCATAGAAAGCCTTGCTGTATTATTTTGTGTTTTCCTTTAGCAGTAATAAAAAGGCATGAGGGGCATTTATTTCTCATGTTTTCTGAGTTTCTTTGAATGCCAAACTAGTATATACATCTAACTTCACATATCATTTCAATTAGATATTTTTAATCTGCCTGCTTTTGATTAACGACAACTATCACACCAAGAACTCAACTGTCACATCAAGTTCAAGAACTGCCTGAATTGCTGCAGAAAACACTTGCTGAAAGTGTTTTGATTTAAACATTTCCCTGTTTTCTTTCCTACCTATGGACAGATGAATATTTTATAGCTGTTGTGACTTAATTTTTTGTTAACTACAGCAAATTTATAATTCATCAAATTCCCGAGTGCTCGGGCTCCGACCCCTGCCCCGTCATTCATCTCGCCCCGGCCCGGCCTCAGCTCTTTCGCTGACAGAAACTAATAGCCAATAAAGACACCCTGACACTGGCAGTTACAATGATGAATGTTTTGGGTGCCATGGTCTTATTATGACCCACTCACAGAGGAAGATCAAGCCATTTTTCAAACAATCCACTCAAAAAAGGAGGGAGAAGGAAATTAYCGCATATTTCATGCATTTTAAGTAGTACTGGAGTAACAGAGCACGTGATGCTGCTGTACTTAATTTCATCTGCACAGTATCAGGTTAGATTTATTCTGTTACTYACAAGTTACAGCTAGTACCTTTGACAGCATAAGATGCAGGATCTGCACCCGTAGCACTACTGCTCTTTGCCTTGTTTTCTACAAAATCTGAATGCAGCCATTTCTAATGCAAAATGATAGCAATGAGAGAGGCAAAGTTACTTCCATAATTCAAACTTGAACTTAGAGATACAGTTCAAAAAAACTGACCTAGCAAGCAAGGCTCTTCCTCCTGCTGCTGAGCATGCAGCAAGGTCAGGGATAACCCACCTGGATTTCATTACTTTGACTCAGTTCTTATCTTGCAGGCTAGGAAATCCTTCCCTTTTGGTGGTTCTCAGTTCAGAGAATGCCAAACTAAGTAGGTGACAGACACTTCTTCCCATGAAGGAATTTAATTTTTTATTAGTTATTTAGGGTGATTTTTAGTGCCTGGCAGGCCTGGACTGCAGGCAATGGCACAGCAAAGAGCCCCAGGCACCAAGCCCAGTTGTGGGCACCTTACTGGCCTGCAATGAGCCCTGTGCGCACAGGTGTAGAGCATGACCATGCAAACCAAGCAAGCTGCCTCTGAACAGAGCATCTGGAGCTGTTAATCTTCAGCCTCAGAGGCTGCCTTGGTTCTGCAGGGGTAACTGCCTGTGAAATAGCTCCCTAATAGGGCAGTAGAGCTACTTGGGTTAAAAAGCAAGATAAATTGAGCACTCTTTGGAGGACAGTTAAAAAGGCTTGGTGAGGACCAGGACAACATCTCCAGGGGTGCTGGAAAGCGCTGCCTGCACCAACCAGGACATCACAGGGCAGGCAGAGCCCTCGAGAAAGCTCCACAAAGCCTCAGCCACCAAAGTGGGAGCTGTGCCATTAGTTGTCCCATTGTGCCAAGCGGACACGGGACATTAGCTCATGGTCGCCTTGCTCCGGGGATGCTGCTCTGCTACAAACCTGTGCGGGCTGGAGCAGGGGGAGCACAAGCCACCCCGCGCGCCGCTCGCTTCTGCTGAGGCTCCTTGGCACCGGGACACTTCTGCTCCGGAGCGGCTCCTTGCTGGCGCAGCCTCTGCACCCGGATCCTCTCCCTGAGCTGCTCCAGCCTCCACGGGGAGGATCTCGCATGCGTCTCCTCCAGCCATGCAGCTGCGGCGGGAAGCAGCCCCGGAGCACATGGAGCCCTGGAACAGAGCAGCAGCGAGCAGGGAGAGCTGGAGCTTGCAGTGGTGCTCTCAGAAACGATGCTGTGAGCAAGTGGGATGCAGCGCAGCAGGGCTGCCCACGCAGAGGGGAACACGGCTGAGCATGAAGGCTCATTATTCACTTGCTCGTTAAGCCACACTAAGGAGCAAGTTGCTGTTGTGGAGGATGCCCATGTGAGCAGCAGGTTGTCAAATACCCAGAGTTTGGCAAAGGGCAGTAATATTGGGAAAGGGCCAAAGGAAACCAGCTCTGGTCAGAGCAGCAACAAGTGTTGGTGAAGGCAGAGGGACTGACACAGGGTTAATGTCAGGGCAATGGCCTGTTAGCATTTCCAAGGGGGAAATGATTCGGTGACTCTTTATATCTACCTGCAGCATGGAAGAGTCTCGCTGCTCTTCTCATCCCAAGCTGTTTCATCTCCACTTCTCTCATCTACAATGTGACAAAATTCTGTTAATGACAGTGAGAATTTCTTTAAGAAAACCATATAACACTGTCTATTTTATTGGAGACCATTCCCCTGCAGATGTGGCCCTTTGGACACCCATGGTGGGTTTGCCTCAGAAGTGACAAAGCACCTCAGGACTGAGGTCCGTGCACTGAGGCCGTGCACTACCCTGTCTCCATGCCATCCAAATGGGCAGGTGGAATATTTGGGGTCTCTGCAGCAAGGTGCAACACCTCRGGCTTTGTGAAATCCCATGGGGAATGTTAAGAGCCATCTGATAAAAACACACACTTTCTTCAATAACAGGAGTGCTCACCACCTCCTGTCACCTTCTGTCCCCTCCAGGAGGGGAGCAGCCCCCCAGCTCAGCAACATTTGCCCATAACTCACAACTCACCAAAGCTTTCCTCATACCAGAGCTTTCTTCTGGCTGCCTGGGACTTGGCACCGCTCCACATTTGATGATCAAGTTTGTTTTCAATTCTCTGTAGCTGTAAAGACAGATTTTTATTTTGAAGGAAAACATATGCTTTTTTTCCCCCCCACAGAAGCTTTTTGCTGGCACACACAGCTTCTCTGATGAATTCTGTACTCCTAGCGACTCTGTAAACACTGGCATGCCTGAGCCTGCCCCGCCTGGCATTTCCTACAGTTGCAAGGAATACAGCAGGCTGGCGACAGCAAATATATATCAGGCCTTGACTGGGCAATCAAGGCTATATGGGAATATTCTTGTTCATTCATTGCAGTATTTGCACCCTCATGATTGCAGCTGCAAACAGTCCCTGCTAGGGGTTCAGCAGGGCAGCTGGACTCAGCAGGTGCCCCAGCTCCACAGTTGTCAGTTATTATTCCACCCTGGCCTTCAAACACAAATAGGACCCTTACATGTTCTTGCCATTCATTTTTGCTTATTCTTGCTCCCTTTTTTACCCCCCTTTTGACATTTAGAGAATAAAGATGCTGTACATCCACTGCCAAAAGAGAACAAAGTGGCATTTTTATCCACTTCCAGTCACACTATCAAGGTGTGCAGGGGTGCATGACAGCCATGGCCTCTGCACCTCACTTACCACCACTTTGGCTTCCTGAAGACTCTTCCAAGCCAGGGCCACATCTGGGGAGAACAGAGAYAAGAGAGGCTCTTGAGCAATTTCTCACAGCTCTTGGTCACTGTCACAACTTCCCCTGGTGCCCAGGCCAGTTCACAGAGCAGCCAGCTGCAATGCAGAATTGCTCCTGGAGAACTGTTTTTAGCTATAACCACTTTCAGTCTGCATTTAATTGACAGAGCTGATGCATATTCAGCAAGATCTTCCCTTACAGTATCTGCCACTTTTGTATGTGTTTAAAAAAAGAGAGCCTGAGCTGATTTTTGCCATTTCAATCCTATTTGGTAGTACCAGGACTGCTGTGAGAGGGAGAATGATTTCTTTACCACATGCCTGTTTACAGGAGAAAGAGCAATGCATTAGTTGAATTCCAAGCTCAAATATATTGCCCACTTTCAACAGAAATTCAGTCTTAAAGACAACTTCAGGCTGAGGAAGCGTTCCCAGGAAGCATTTCCTACAGAAACAGCTGCAATTAAATTCCTCAGAAGTGCAAGAGATCCCTGGGGAGAGACAGAGAGGATGGCACCAGGTGGGCAACATATTCATTCAACAAGCAAAGCAGCAGCTCCCTCCCRCATCCCATCCCTTCTCTCCTTACCTTTTGCTGCCTCCTCCATGGATGGAGCAGCCCCTTCCCCAAGGGTCTGCACAGAAACACCTAAAGGGGGTATTTGGAGAGCGGGTAAAATACCCCCTGGGGTATTTTAGGGGTGATCAGTCACAAAGGCCTCTTCCAAAGGAGGTTCTGGGAAACATCCCGCTCTCCCTCTGTCCCTGCTGTCAGCACCAGGTCCCAGCTCAGCCCCACACCTTTGTTTGGGGCAACAGAAACAAGTGCCCAGGAGAGGCAGATGGAAACCCTGGAGAGAACAAACAGCTCCAGGAGGAGCCCAAGGGCCAGTCACAACTTGCCACGGGTGGCAAGGRGCCAGTGGCTTTCCTGAGCAGCCCTCAGGTCCCTATGGGGCATCCTGGCAACATCCCAGGGCCTGGCACRCTCAGAGGAGCAGGGCTGAGCTCTGAATATGGGCTTCTGTTTAAGGGGAAATGAAACAAAAAATGGTTTCCAGGCTTGGCGATTGCAGAGAAACCCYGAGAAGGTGCTAGTGTAAGCTGGAAGTCCAGAAAAGGTAGGGACAACAGCACCTGTGCTCGAGTCTCTTTAGATGTCATAGGTTTTTCAGTCCAAATATTTGAAATTTGAGGCAGCCACTCTGGTTCCTCAGCACACACAGATTTTCATCCCAGCATTTAATGTTCCCGGGAAGGAGCAGTTTATCCCGCACGCAGCAGAGGGCAAGCTCTGCTCGCAGAGCCGAGCACAACAGCCGCCCGGGATCGAGGACAGCCTGGAGCTCGCTGCTCCGAAGGAGCTGATCTTGGAAGCCCTTTGCCCCCAAGTTACTCACAAGGAATTCTGAATGTGCAAGCAGATCTGAACTCGCTACAACCATTGCAAAATGCCAAAACCAGTCTCATCATTYGATGCGGCTTCAGTTCCTTCACTGGATGATTCTTAGACATTGGTTTCCTGTGAAATTCTCCCATGTATTTGCAGACCTGAAGTTTGGCAGTTCCCAAGGCTATACTTGCTGTTGGCTCTGACATTCCCTGGAGGTAGCTAAGGTACATACACATAACAGAGACAAGCGAACAGGAATAAAAGCATCCCTGTCCTCCAGCAGCATCACCACAGGGTGAGGTTCAGTGAGGACCCTGCCCAGAGGCTACAGGTTCCTTTTGAGATCCCACCTCACTGCAAAGCAGAGCAGGCCAACATTCTTCTCACCAGCATTTTGGTTAACATTGGACTCTTGTTTGGCTTAGGTCCACTCAAAGGATCAGACTCCAGCTGCTGATCACCGCATTTCCTGCAGGCTGTGCTCAGCACAACYTCAGCTCTCACATCCAACCAAAGAAGAATTCCCAAGTTGCAGCATTGCCATTTCAAGCTGTTCCAAGCCAATGTTTTGGCCTGATTAGAGGTTCCAGTGCCAGGAACACAGAGCTTGTCCCAGAGGGAACTGCAGCTATTTAGGGTGCCTGCATGATAAGAGAGCCTTAATTAGAGGGTTCAGGGGCAGCCCTCGTGCTGGGCAAGTGGGTGAGCTGCTGAGGGAAGAAAGCAGAAAGGAGAAACCCCAGCAGCAGGAGCAGCTTTAGAGGAAACTAAGGGTAAGCAGGAAAGTCCAGGGCGAGCCCCACGTCTGAGCTCACATGCTGCAGCTGCCCCACGCTCCCGTCACACAGATCTCTTGGCACTTGTCTCCTCAGCAAGCTGTGGGTCCTGATGAGAGCCAGGGGAGGGACAGACTGCCAGCGCATTGAGCTGCACATCTTGGAGTGTTAGACCACAAATCTGCTTAAAGATGAGGAAGCAAAACCTATAACTGGGCCAAGTGCTGCTTTGGCAGCACACGCAGCTCCCCAGCCAGGGAGCCAAGGCTGAGCCAAGGCAGTGAGGAGCAAAACCCTCTCGATCTGTACTGTCTGCAGGAGCAAAACGAGCCCATTGTGCACGAGCCTGTCCTGCTGCCTCCACTGCTCCAGTCACATGAGGCTAGGGCAGAATCAGGCCAAGTGTTGTAGATCATGATGCATCAGCCCTCAAAAACTCTTCCTACAGAGGCGCTCAGACCAGAGATTCCAGCAGACTGCAGCTGTCTGGCCAAGGCAGTTTTAGGGTTTTTTAGGAAAGATTTTGCAGAGATTCTTAAAGATCAGAGCCTATAGTGAGAGATACTACTAACCCCATTGCACAGCATCATACCATGCAGAGCACAGTGACAGCATGGGACTCTGGTTAGTGACATACACACACAGTGACAGAGTGGGACAAAGTGCTCAACTCCTCTGCCTGGTGGCATCCTGAGCTTCAAGACAGTTTTATACCACTTGTGCAATGGCAAGATAAAGGCACCTGGTAACCACCCAACCCTGCAGGAGGTTTTGGGGAGTCTGGAGGTTGGTGTGAGGCTGCAGACTCTCCTGCCCATCCTCAGTTCCTGCTACAGTGCACTATAGTCACCACTTAGGATTTGAACCAAAAAAGAAATTCCTAAGTGCATGTAGTTTGAAACTGCACCCTGCAAACCCTTAGCTTTGCACCCTCTAAATAGATTCCAGAACTCTTTAAATAACTGCAATTCTGCTGTTCCTGCAGCCCTGGCAGATGGGCAGGACCCTCATTGCCTTCCCCTATTAGCTGACCCCATGTGCTTAGCTCTAAGGGCCACGAGGTCCCTTACCAATGGGAAACACATCCAGCTAAAAGCAAGGAATAYTTTTACAGTGTCTGCCTAAGCAGTTTTTGTAAAGCACTTTTCACAACATTTCCCAGTTAGTAAACAATCAAAGCACAAATTTGGACTCTGGTTGCAAGCAGGATGTGACAGGAATTTCCTAGCAAGCAGGTGTTGGGAAGAGGCAGCTCATTAAAACGAATTGGACCATCCTGAAGCCTGACAGCCAAGGACTCAGCCCTACATTTAAGATCCAGGTATTTAGGTCTTTAGTTCCTATGGATTTCAGGACACTATGCTGCCCACATACTGCTATACACCCATATCTGTCTCTTTGGACTCACTCTGCCTCAGGGCATCAGCAATAAGAGCATTTCCCTTCCCTTAATATCGTTGGTTGACCAGTCTGCTTTGCACAAAGACACCCTAAAAAAGCCAATAGCATAAATACAAATATCTGTTCCTGATGAGAGCCAAGTGATGCCTAGAAAAGGACAGCATTCTCTTTACATGCTATATAGATATATATATACAGCTCATCCAGTTATTGCAGAAAGTGTTAAAATGGGAAATATCAACTCCCAGCCCATTTCTTGCCCCATTGACACAAGACTGAATGGGATGGGAGRCTGCTGCACTGCACAGCCGAACACGGGAGAGCCCCGGGTTTCCTTGGAAACAGGCTGTAGTAAACAGGGCTCTCCTGAGGGATCTACAGCCCTGGCCTGGGACCAGGCTATTTAAGCCAGTGCTCTGCAGATAAAAGCACATTTCTGTGCATGCTTTCTCCAAGTGCCACAAAATGGAAGAGGGTAGGTAAGGGTGATAAAACAAGTTTTGAGGTGTCTCAGAACCCCAAACCTGCAGAAATCAATACAAACATTCCCAGGGCTTTCTTAGGGCTGGAGCTGGTGTGCAACAGGCAGCCGTAGGTTCCCTGAGCACCAAAACACAGCAAGGCACAAGGATAAAGCCACCGCATGGCTTGTTTTACCACCAGTCCTAACCTCAAAYTGTGTCAATGAAGCAGCAGGATAAGCTAGCAGAAGAGATGCTCTTTGGCTTTGTTTCTGTCTGGCACTTGTTAGTCTGGGCTTTTTCTCCCCCTTTTCTCCTGATAATACTGTAAGCTAGCAAAGATATTGCCTTATTATTGACCAAATTAATCTATATGTAGCTGGGCACAAAGGAAAATAGATATTAGCTGCATAACCATCTCCAATGGAAAATACAACATAGGTAGAAGGAGAAATTCTTCACTGATGTACAATGGTGCAGCATCATTACTGTAAATAGCACCAGCCTCATTTAATTAGAGAAACCAACTCTTAGGAGATTCAAACTGTTCTTTCCAGGAGGCTAACGCAGCCTTCACATTGTAGGCGGAGACCAACACTTGATCTCAACACAACTGGAGCAAATGCTAACACTTGTTTCCTCCCTTAGGCAATACAGACTGCTAATCACTCRCTGCAATCAATATCTCAGCACATATTACAATAAAAACACAAGTGCCACATCAATTACAACACTGACATTCACYGGCCTAGGAAAAAAATCAAATATCAATAGATAAAACTAATCAATAGGTAAARTAAGAGCAGCCTTGCAGATGTCAGAGCCAGATCATCTAATTGGAGTCCTGACATAACCCAGAGCAAATACTCATTTGGTGAATTTACCTCAACCCAAGAATATGTTTGAGCTCCATCAAAATCTCTAGGCATTGCTCTTCCAGGTATCAATAGAGCACCTGGTTCCCAAGTTAGTTATTCTAATGTTTAATTACCTGCACTTGAACATCACATCTTTACTTCTAGTCTGAATTTGTCTAGCTGTAATTTCTGGATACAAGGTTTCATTGTGCCATTTTGTACTAGATTAAAAAGCTTTCTATCATCAGAAATTTTCTTGTCTAAAAAGGTAACTGTCACCTATCATTAAGCCATATATTAAAAGTTTCTAAGAGCTAGAATCAAATGAGCTTTTTGGCTTTCTAAGCTTTGCAGCTCTTTACTAAACCTTTTCCAGTTTTTCTACATGCATTTTCAAACATGGCCATCAGCCAAGCACAAAATACCAGGAATGTTCTAACTACAGGATACCCTAAATCTCCTATTTACCACTTTTTTTTTTTTTTACCAGTAATGACTTAATACTTGCTCTCCAGATCAGTGATAAAGATGTCTAGTAACACGGTACCAAGAACAACCCATGCAGGATATAAAAAATTTCCCCAACAGATAATTACACTTAGATGCATGTTATCCARTTCCCAGCCGATTCAACATAAGCCACATTGATTTTGTTAAGTACTATTTTTAGCAGAACGTCACACAAGATTAAGCCAACCGCTTTGAAAAAGTCAAAGTCTGTTATGTCAGCAGAATTACCTTTACTAACTGAATTTAGGAGCTCCTCAAAGATCACTTGCTTGAGGAGCAGTTTTCTGGAGCAATGGATTGACATCCCACAGACCTTTTGGCTGTGTCCTGTGGGAACATTTGACACTAGAGTTACTTGGATCATCCTACTTCTCTAAACCATGTCAGATCACTACTAGCTTCTTTTTCTAGACCTTTAAATCTTCCCTGGTGTCTGATTTGTTTAAAACTCAGAATTGGGGTTCAGGGCATATGCTGACAACTGTCAGCCCTAAAATGAAAATTACTTCTGGAAAGTGCTGTTTATTGCTGTAGTAATATGCTGTTAAAATAGCACATTCAGACCTGCCTGCAATGAAAAATGGAAAAACAAGCACAAATATTATGCATTCTGCCATAAACACTTAACACAAGGGGACTGGAAACAGTGATAGCTTCACTCTGCTCTCATTGCTGGCTAAGAAAGGATGTGTTTAGACACGAGGCTGCAGTGCTGGCTGTTACAGAATGCATTTCCTGTCACTAAATGCTGATTTGGGGACGAGAGGGGCTGCAGGGCCCTCCACRAGCTCACCAGGCAGCTGGCAATGCAGTGACTAGAGCCTCTTCCTCCTGCTCCTGCCCCTTGCAAAGCTCACCTTTGGGTCAGTCTTTTCCATCCATCCTGAAAGCTCTTGGAAGCAGATGAGCTCTGCCTCACCTGAGGCACAGAGGACTACTAACAAAGAGGAAATTCAGGGAGATAAGGCACAGGAGGAATAAACATGTACAAAGCTGGCAAGGACAAGGCTTGGCTTGCATGCAGCCTACCACACAAGAACCTAACTTGAGAAGAGCACCCAGGGCTTGATGCACATTTYCAGGCCACACCAGGAGAGGGATGGCCCTGGGGTGGAAAAAGAAGGTAAGCAGCCCATGTGTTCCCCACCCCAGGCTCTGGGAAGGGGGTTGCTCTGGCTTTCCTGCCCAACCAGGTAGCCCTTCAAGTGCTATGAGTCCCAGAGCAGATGTCCTGGCTCTGCAGGACCACTCCTCTCCTGCAGACCCATGGCCCTGTGCAGTGCACGGGGATGAATTATCCCAAGAAGCTCCTTCCTCAGGTCTCTTTCTGCATCTCTGCACTTCCATTGCTTTTTAAAAGCTCTTTTCCATGGTCAGCAAAGCAGCTCTTCACTCTCAGATGATCCTCTATATTTCACATATGAATATTGCTCACTGGAATTCTCTATTACAGCTTATCTGCAAGTTGTAATAAACTCCTATTTGGAGAGGAAATAATGTTTTCTGAGTCCCACTCTTCAAGCAGAGGAGTTTTTGCCTTAGGACTGGATTCAGCAGAAGGATTTCAGAAGCSCTTGAAAACTCTCAGTCCTGCAAAGCTCTGCAGCACAGCAGCTTTATTTAGACCCATTAGATCTGCCAGATCAAGGCAGGGTTCTGCCTCCCAAGGATATTGAACCCAATTCCTCTTAATACATTGTTTTAACTGACAGGAATTGCTAAGCATTCTGCCAAAACCCACCTGCATCCCCTGAAGAGCTCCCTGCAGGGCCCCAGGCTGCAACTTGTATAATTACATTTTATGAAAATCCCAAAGCCAAAGCAAATGCCCTTGGTTCAGACAGGCTGCGTGTGGCCCTGATCCTCCAGGARCATTTCTGCTCTAAGAGGTCTGATGTCTCTCTCAACCATCTTCACATTGGTTTCAGGCTTATTCAAACTGCTTGGCTCACAGCTCAGCAATGCATTTAAGAACTTCAAACTTAATTAATTCTCAGTCCTTCCCCAGGAGGGATAGGTAAAACTGTGTTGCTTCATTAGCTCCATTTTACAAACCAGCGTAAGGCAGCACCAAGGCTGACATTTCACAAGAGAGCAGCCCAGGTTACACTGCATATTGTCCCCTCCATCCCAGTCCACTGCACCTGCAAGGGGGACCAAGCAAGTCTGGACTTAAAACACTGACCCTGGATGCACTGAGCTCACCTGTGCCTCCTGTCCCAGGAAACTGGGCTGTAAAAGGCCGCTGTCATTAAGGTACAGAGGATAGGCTGGTCTACACACACAAGCACAGAACAGAGCCCACTTTTCCTTGCTGGCCGTTCTCAGAGAAATTTAGAAGAAACCACAGCAAACTTTCCAGAAAGCTGGACCACAGTAAAGCGCTGTGAGCATCTGAGAAACAGGCAGAAAGACAACAGCTCAAGTTGAGAGCCTTTCATTGCAGCTTTCGCTAGTCAAGGTTGACAACTCCAGTACCAGCTCAGCAGTGACTTTGGCTCGGGTCTGCCAGCATCTCAAGTCTAAATCACATCGTTCTTCCTGCACACAAACCCCAGCAGAGGCAGCAGCCACCCATGCCCTGAGCTGCACAGAGCCTCCCTGATGATTAAGGGAGACCTTGGTGCTTTGGAGGGAGCGCCCAGCTCATTAGTGCCTGCCTGATGAAACACCTAGGCGGGGAGCTCTTCTGTAGCATGTTGGGATCGCTTTGGATATCCATTTTTTAAAAGAAACATTAAAATATACTTGGGAAATTCTAGGGATGCTGCAAAACCATTGCTTGGTGCTGTGATCCTGCCTSGGTTTTTCAGTGAAACAAAGTTGCATCTATCCAATTTGAGACATTCAATAACTGGAAAGAACAAGATGATGCAAAGAATTTGATAGGACTTGTTCTTTTCTTGGAACTACCACCTTAATATGCAAGGAGCAAAAAGCCTTGGAGGTGTTCCCTGTCAACAGAGGTGTATGAAGTCAGACTATCTGCAGGCACCATCTCCTGCAATGCAGCCCAGCTCCCCTGCTTTGCACCCAATTCCCTTCTCCATGATCCATTCCCTTCTCTTAGCTGCTCAGTGCAGCAGCTCTTCTCATATTTAAAGATTATCCAATCGCCTTTTCTGAACTGAAAAAAGAAATCAATTCTGCACACCCCTTGCAGGTCATGTCTGMCACATTCATCCAAAGCTTAATTGCTCCATGTGCTTCCCAACACATGATGCAATATGGACACAATTCAGCAGTTAGATTGGCAAATTTTTAAAGTGTTTGGGTTTCTTCCTCTTTGCTGTCATGTAATCTGCCTGTTTCATTGCAGCTGAGCAACAGAGCTGAGCTGTGGCTAAAATCCAAGTACTTGCAAGGAGCTTCTTGGCATGAGTATGTAGGGCTAACCAAACCCAACCCACAGCAGAGTAATTGAATTATTCTATCTAATGAACTCAAATCTACTATGACCTGCTTGACACTTCTGCAGGAAAAAAAAGCTGGGTCTGCCAGCTGATAAATTCTCCATTGCAAATTCATGAATTCTAAGGCCAAAGGGGACCATTACRCTCATCTTAGCCTGACCTCCTGGGTAACCCAGGCCAGGGAATTGCACCCACCAGTTCCTACAGCATGAAGGGGTGGGTGACCCGTGACCCGTTCACTCAGAGCACTCTGCAATACCCTTTTCCCTGGCCCAGACTGGAAGGCAGCCTCCACCCTCCTTTCTTCTGCTCCCCTCTCCAGCATTGTTTCTCTGCCCACATTCATTAAATGTCGACCCAGGCAGCAAAGCACCCTCTGTCTCCTGCGGTTAAGGAAGGGCTGTAGCCAGAGGCAACAGCAGCTGGTTCTCATTTTTTTTTTTTTTTTTTCCAGCAGCATTCTTGAAGAGCCTGGAAGGGAGGGAGGGAAGCAAAGTCACCCTATGGAGTTACCAAACCCTCTTAAGGCTGACCTGGGAGTTGCTTCTTCCTAAGGGCTGCTGACCCCAGGGTGCTTGTGTTGCTCTTAGTGAAACCACAAGGCTGGGTGAAAACTCTAGTGACSGGCATGGGGTCATAGCCAGGGCTGGGGGCTTGTTCCCCCCACCCAGGACCACTATGTGAGCTAGTTTTTTAGGGAATCAGGGGCTCCCTTTCTGTTGAGCAGGACAAACCATGTCCATACCCCCATCACCTCYTCAGACAGGATGCAGCTCTCCAGGTGATGGGCTCAGCTTTTGCTGCTCAGGTTTAGCTAGAGAATTGAGCCTATTCTTAAGCCAAGACATCAATATAGGCTTGCTTAGGGGGGTTGCTTTAGATTCAAATGCTCAATTACCTCTCAGGAGCAAGAGTTGTTGCTGATCAACTCTTGGAAAAAGTTTTCACACAGGTTCCAGAGCAAAATGCTCTGGTAAGCAGGACACAGCTCTCAGGTCCCTCTGGGTGCAGGCCCCCATAGCTGATAGGAACAAAGTGTGAGCTGCTAAGGGTTGCTAAAATCTATAACTTCAGCTTGCACTTCTCTGGGGTGCCTAGAAGGATAGGAGTGGCTAATAGCATACTGCTCAGTAAACAGGCCTAACCTAGAGCCAGGCTAAGCAACTAGCCCCCTAACTTCTGTAGCAGCAGTAAAGCAATAAGAGAGCAAAAATTAATGCTTGAAGATGATGTGCCCCATCTCTAGGTATCTGCTTAACAAAGGGCAGAAGCCCCCAAATGCCCCTGCAAATCACTTACCAGGACAAAGAGGCTGGTGAAGATCAGGACAACAGACCTTTGCTCTAGCTAACTGCACTCTAAATGTAAGGACKCCTTGCCCACGGTTCTTTAAACCCGGGGCCCGGCTGATGCCAACGAGCATCACCTGGCGCAGATGCCCAGCACATCAACGTGTGACTCGGAATGGGAGCAGCTGTGTGAGGTCCTGCTCTGTGCGCATCCTCCCTGTCCCATGTGCAGGCACTTAGTAATTAGCACCAAAGGGCTCTAGGGGAGCAAGAGCAGAGGTTTTTTTAGGGTGGGCTCAAGGAGATGCGCTGGCTGGGGGGAGGTTAGTAGTAATGCTGTGCCCGGGGCAGTTATTGGAGGATTGYTCTTTGCGATAACGTGGAAACGCGGGGCCACCGCCTCGCTGCGCGGAGGGCAGCGCTACCTCTCCCTGCCGCGGCGGGGCCGGCAGAGGAGGAGGAGGAAGAGGAGGCGGAGGAGGCAGGGCGCTGCCCGCCGCGGGCTGACATCAGCCGCCGGGGAGGGGCCTCCCCGCGAGTTTCGTGGCCGGCGCCTCGGTCGCTGCCCCGGCGCGGGGCCGGGCTGAGCCCATGGCGCGCGCGCCCGCCGCCCGCCGCCTCTGCGCCAGGTGAGCGGCACGCGGGGGGACACGGGCACGGTGCGGGGGGGACCGGGACCGGGAGCGGGAGCGGGGCGGGCGGCAGCCGGCTCTGCGGCAGCCCCGGCCCCCGCTCGCGGGGGCGGCTCCGGGTCGCGCTGCGGGGCTCGGCGGCCGCTCCGCCGCGCGCGTTTGCGGCTGTTCCGCAGAAACTGCCGCTGCGGGCACCGCGTGCGGGAGCTTGAGGCTGCGCTGCCTTTCCCTTGCTCCTCTAGAAAGAAAGGAAAAAAAACTCCAGCGGAGCCCGCGCGAGGCCCCGCGGCGCTGCTCAGAGCGCGSCTGTTTTGCTGTTTACACCGCTCGTGTTTTGTTTTTCCTCTCATAGTGAGATGTGGCGACAATGCAGGGTCTAGACAAAGCAGGGGGAACGCTGGAGCCGTCTGCAGCATGGTGTTTTTTTTGGTGAGCTCCTGTTGGGTGCTTGGCAATAATCTAYGAGCAGCAGCTAGTGGCCTGTCTAGTTTTAATGAGTATTGGTTCATTAGGACAGCAGGTGTTTCTTGGTTTTGTCATGCTATGTAGGAACTCCTGGCAAAATGAGGAGGGAATGTGCAGTTAAGACTTCTGCTCTGCCTGGCCTGGCAGAGCTGTGGAGAAATACACTGCCTTTGGAGCAGGCGAGCAGGCTTATCTTTTTTTCTCTCTTTTTTTTTTTTTTTTCTTTTCGTTGATAACTTTCTGGGGAATAAACTTTAGCCTTTCTTATAAAATAGGCCCCAGAGGGGGGCTTCAGCCCTCTAGCTCCTGCATGTGAACTCAGCCAACGGCTGTGAAGTGAAGGCAGGATAGAAGGGAAAGGGTCAATGTCTGTGTCTCTCCAGGCCTGCTTGAGAGGGAAGGAGCTGCTCAGGCTCCCCGTGGTGTTTTTCAGAATTTCCAGGCCTTGGAAGTTTGTGAAAATGGAGCTTTCGTGTCTTTATTGCGCTGCTCAGTACTGGAGCTGAGCTGCTTGAGTGTCACTTGGGGATTCTTAGGTAGAAACCTYCATCAGGAAGGAACCACCTGCCAAGCGCGGGCAGAATCTCTGGCCCTTCTGACCCTGCGGGGGAGCAGCCCGGAATGGGCAGCAATGAAATCAGGTTTTCCTYGGTGCGGTTTCAGCCCTGACAGTGTCAGGGCGCAGGAAGGAGCGGGCGGCCCTGGCCTGCTCGTCTGGGCCGGGAGGGAGATGAGGAAGAGGATGGGGCGGGAGGAAGTGTCGCAGCAACGCAGCAAAGCGAAAGCGTCCGCTCACTTCACGACACCCCTTGCYGTTCCCCGGATCCAGTGGGCCCAGAACAGAGGTATCTGTTGTTAGGCAGATGAGCCAGGTGCTGACTTCACCAAACCCTTTTATTTTCCAGACACCCAAGTCAGGAGCAGGTCTGCTACAGCAGTGCTGCTCGGTGGGCGGTTTCTSTGCAGCTTCTTGCCAGCCCTGGCTGCACTTTCTGATGCCATTTAGTTCGTTGCCTTTGCTAGGGCACCACCCGTGTCCTGGCAGACAGGTTGGAAGTGCAGGGCGTTGGAGGTGCTTGAGCAGCTGTGACCATCTCCAGGGCTCTTGGGCCTTAAAAGGCAACTCTGGAGATGCTGAGGCCCGGGAGTGAGGTATGGGCATGCCCTGGGATGAGCAGCACAGATCTGATCGATCCTGCACGGAAAGGGCATTAAACAATGCGTCAATCCGCCCAGAAGCGCATAAATCAGCCATGAAAACTCATCTGAGAGCACGTCTTGTTCCTGTCCCTTGCTTGTCTCTTGGGCCTCCGTTTCTCWTTCCTTGCTTGGTCTTCCCTGCCAGTGCTGCAGATTTCCAGCAGATCTGTTGGCTTTTGTGGTGTTAACCGTCCTCAGCTGTGGCATGAGCAGTCTCTGCCTTGTTCATTGATGCCACTGTGGTGGGTACCTGACCTCAATGAGCGGCAGGTAATTACAAAGCTCTGAGCACCACAGGCTTTTGTGCAACTTTTCCATCCGCCCATGGCAAACTGAGACACAAGAGCTGTTGTCCTTGAGCAGAAGGCAGCAAGAGAGGACGCAACCGAGCACGTGGGTCAAGCTGCATTTGGGAGGCGAGACGGGAAGAAATGTTACGTGTAGCAGCGTATCCATCACGGGTGCTCTGCCCTCTGCGAGGGCTCCCGATGATTTACTGCAATTGCTCACCCTGAAACAGTTTGTTTTCCAGGTACTAGTTCTTGTAAAGTAAACTTTGCAAGGCTTAAAAAGAACAGGCTTTAAACCATGCTGAAAGCAGTGTTGTGTTTTGTTTATTCAAGAGAAACGGGATGTCATATGTGTGGCAGGATTATTTTCTATTAAGATACAATTAAATACCACCTCTTAGAAGGAAAATAAATATTTTCTGCCTGCTTACCCGCAGAGATGGAAATTAGCACCACCAGCAGGTCTGGCCCTTGTTGCTCATTAGGAATTTTGCTGAAGGAGCTGWGTGTATCAGCCTTCTGCTGGAGCGCCGGGCTCCGCATTGCCAGAACACCCGTGTTTGTGTTAGCAGGAGCTTTTATCTGCTCCTTGTGTCTCCTGGCATGTTTCCTGCTCTCCCTCTATTCTCATGTTCCCAACTGCTACAGCTCTTCCCTTCTTTTCTCCCAGATAGGGATCCTCCTCATAAAAACAGCAGCGTTATGAGAGCTGTGATCAAGTGTGGGATGTCCCGGACATGCAGTTTTGCAAAGCGGGGACAAGTTGAAGCTTCACAGGGGAAAATACAGTGGTTTGGGCCACCAAATGCTGGCAGTGATTCCCTTTTTCTCCTCCCTTTGCCCCATAAGTTGTATTTGAAGCTGCCTGATTATTGTATTTGAGAGTATTGTTTTAGGGGTGTCTTTAAAAAATGGAATTCTTTCTGCTATGGGTCCATGCAGTTGGCTTCCTTCAGGCAGAAGGATGTGAAAAACAGGACAAATTTCTAAAATAGCTGTGGGGCATAATAGGTGGCTTCAGCAAAAATTATATGATGCAGTATTGGTTTTGTTGACATCTCTTTTGGGACTTTTTGAATAACTTGCTCATAGTTTCAACATGTGTGAGTAATGTGGTCATCCCTGAAGGCAGCTGAGCAGAACGTTGGGTCGCTGTGTGGTAGGGAGAAGTTTTCCCAGGATCTTGGGCATCTTCTTTCATYCCTCCGTGTCTCACCTTGCAGGACGTGGAGAGAGCTGCTCTCTTGCCCTTTTTCTTCCAATGTTGTTATCCTGCTGGATATTTCGGGAGAGGGTTTAGCTCCCACCTGAACAGTGCCTTGCACAGCATGAGCTTCATCCTGCTTCTAACCTCTAGATGTTGCTGCAAGGCCTAGAACCATCTTGGGAGCTGATTTGACTTGCATGTTTGTGTGCAGGCACATGAAATTAGTGTGATAAACTTTTATTTTTCTTCCCTCCTCTCTGTGCTGGCTTAGCTGGTTTGCACATGAGCAGTGCAAGGTAGAGCCACCACCCTGCTTGGTGCGTCTGAGGGCTGTCCTGCTGGATATGGACTTTATCCTGAAATGCTTCCCATGCTRCAAGGGGTTTGTGACAGAGATGAGGCACAACTGGCCTTCAGGCACCAGAGAACRTAAGTTTGCTGGTTTGCCCTGTCCTGCTGTAGTTCTGCTGTTTTTGTGCATTTGCGCGTCAGGTGATGCCTGAACTTGCATTCAGCCTTGCTCTAGGAACACATCCAGCCYCTGCCACGCTTTGTGCTGCAAGAAGCCAGTGGCAGCAGCAAGTTTCCTGAAGCAGAGGGATGCCTTTTATTTAACCCTTGCTGCTGCTTTTCTCTAGGAGCAGGTTTATCTCCAATTTGCTGCCTGGGTACATGCTTTGTTCTGCACCCTGGCTGCCCCGTCTCACTCGGGTCAGCCAGCCCTGCTCCAGAACTCAAAGCCACTTCCCTAGTACAAAAAACTGCTAAAACCCACAAATCATGAGCAAAGCCATGAAGCAAAAACACCTCCTGCCTCTGGGGCTGGGGAGCCTGACCACAAAGCAGGGCTGTGGAGCACAAGGCCAACACTATAAATATATATATATATCTAAAAGTAATCACCTGTGAGAAAGCTTTCCATTGACTGAAGCTCTGTCCTTTAGTTACTTTCAATTAAAATCTTACTTGACAGGTCTGATTTGCTAACTGGTTGCAAACTGGTTAATTTGGTGTAGATTCAACCTGTTTAAATGGGCTGCTTCTCCCTGTTGAAGAAAGGAGACACAACCTTGTTGGAAGGCACTTTCAACTCACAGATACCTGTTTAATACAGTAAGTCACAAGACTGAAYGCGAACACAAACCCAGCACCCAGAACCCACCCGCGGGCAGTGTTGGCACCCACTGTGCAGCTGCAGGATGGGCGCCTGGCAGCGCCTTGGACAACGTGCAGCGACGTGATGCAACTGGCT